TTATAATTTCATTGTACAGGTCACTGGTTAGGCTACATTTGGAATACTGTGTTCAGTCTTGGGCTCCTTACCTTAAGAAAAACATTGAATTGTTGGAAAGGGTTCAGAGAAGGGTTACCAGAGGTTGAAATCTCTCATATTGTTTTCTCTTGAAATAAGAAGAGTTGGGGGGGGGGGGAAATCTGATTGAGGTTTTTAAGATTGTAAATGGAATTGATAGTGTTGGTGCATCACCTTTTTCATATTTAACAATGAGGATAGTAGGACTAGGGGATCCAAATATAAATTTTGGCAAGGTAGGAGTCATCTTCAGCTAAGACAGTTTCATTTTTGTAACAGATGTTTCACATTTAAGTGAGTTTAAGAAAAAGCTTGATAAGTATATGAATGATAAAGGCTGGCTTTAAGATTTTTCTTTTTTTTTTATATTTTAATTTAGTTTAGAGGATGGAACAATCAAGATGGACCAATAAGTCCCATGTTGTCCCAAAACATTATGTTAAGTTATACCAGGAATTGTTTTTTAAAAACAGGGTATGTGGTACATATAATATTACTTATAACTAACGAAAATGACTGAACAGTAGTATAGATTTTATGATGAGTATTTACTGGAATATATTATTAGTATACGATTACAGCAAGCTACAATATGTAAGCAACAAATGTACAATATTTTAAGAAAATGATTAAACAAAGAAGAAATTTAATGTCACAAACACATTTATAACAGACTGATATCTTGATCACACTTCTGTCATCAGATCTAGAAGCATTTAAAGTTTGTACTTACATTGTAAAATGTAAATGTTGTTCCTTATTCTAAACTTCTGAGTAGTGAAACACAGTTGGAAAGCAGATTCGCATACATTTCACTACCATCTTCAATCTTAGTAGCTGTACATAAACAAAAAATAGTTATGTTACAATATGGACCAGTTCAAAGTTTTATCTTAGTTCTTTTTAAACAGCCACTCTTAATACAAAAAGTATACAGCACATTGAGCCTGTCTCAAGGTCTAATCAACTGGTTAAAGTTTGCCATTTGACAATCTTACTAAATTTGTGTTATATGTGGCACACCTTCTTAAGATAAGAAACTTAGATCAAATAAGTATGAAGTATGTAATACTTATATCAGAAATAAATTGTAATAATATAAATCTGGGTGTGATATCAGTAAGGATGTAATAATGAAATAAAAAATATTTAGTAAAATGAGTAGTATGAATTAAAATAAGTTTTATTCACTCATATCCTGAGAAAGTGAGTTTTACATTTTCACACAGTAAGTAAAATTTCATGTGGTTTGTCAAACCATGATGTAAAAGTAAATGTCCAAATGTTACTTTGAAACTAATTTTTTTACTATATAACTGATTTTACTCTTTACTAAATGCTTACAAAATATTTTATAAGATTTTGCTTGTACAATGCTTATCTTGATGATGAATAAAATCTAACCATTTTATAAAACTATAATACAAACTATTAAGAAATTAACAATGTTTTAAACATCAACTTTAATGTTTTTTTTGAAAAACATGCTGTTAGTTTCATGGGAAATGTGGAACTAGGTGTTTCAAAATTTATAAGTAATAACATAAGCAATAATATTCTTGAAAACCTCATTCTTTTTTTTTTTAAGAACATGCCAGTGTCTCATTAGAAAATCACACATTTTTTTTAAATTTTGATTAAAAACAAGATTTTGACAAGATCAACCTGTTTAGCTTTAAAGATGTATGACTTAATCTCAAATTTACATTACTTTATACATACAACATAAAATGAATTTCTGGTATATCTCCATCTGTTTATATGAAATACAAGAAACTTTAAATAAATCAAGGTAAGATAAATAATATGATCCCATTTCATGCACATATATTGAACTTGAAGCTTTCAACATTTTAATATCTCTATAACTGCTTATAAAAATTAGAATTAAAGACATTGTTTTAAATTCAAGGAATTTTTTCAATCACGCAAAAATTAAAACCTTACCATGGAACTTCAATATTAGTGAAAGGCCTCATCGGCACTGAACGTGGCAGATGTACATTGACATATTACATCATTGCTTTAGTTTTAGTCATAACTTCTTAAAATGAATATATACTGAAGTTATCTGAATTTTAGTGGTGATGATAATGTATTACATTGATATCTGAATGGAATGAAATGTTAAATTTCTAATAACTGTAACTGGAAAATTGAATAGTAAATGCTTCACCAATACTGCACTTAATCGTATTATTTATTTTCTCTGCAGCAGTTATTACAAGCTTCATGTTAATATGTTTAAGTAGCTAATCCCACCAGAAACTACTTTAACTAGTGCGTTTATTAAAGCAAGCATATAAGGTTGCATTTCCTAACCGATTTTTCCCTGAAGTCACTAGTAACATCACTATCAGGGCTGTTCAGGTTTGCTGTGATATGACATAGTACTAGTAGTCTGAGCGCTATTTCGTGAACAACAGTCGTAACCACTATCGATTTTATTCTTAAGTTACTTACAAATCAAAATTAGGGTAACTACTGGTAACACAATATTATTCATTTATTCTAAACACCGATTATATAATATTTTATCTGAATTAAGTTTTAGTATCACTCTGAACGGGCAAAATCAACAAGCCATTCTTGCTTTTGAAGCGGGTAAATCAACCACAACAAGAGAAAATTATATTAGTAATTCTTAAAACGTGAGAGTGCCACCAAACACAAACATCTAATATTAATATGTCCTACTCAATCTATACTTATATGTGCGTGTACCGTGTATTTTCAATATTAAGGTGTTTTACAGTAACCTGCAATGTTGGTAGCGCCCTCTTCAAACAAAGGACTGTGATGATTACAGATTTTTATTAATTATTATTGCTGCGTAATACCTAAAATATGGCTAACTAAATTGTTCAACTGTTTTAATGTTTTGTGTAAATTAATAAAACAAATACTTTCAACAAGGTATGTGGGTAAACTATACTTCTGTATCATAAAAAATATTTAGTTTACATTAAAATGCTTATTTTAATGTTACTGGGGATCAAATGTTTGATTAAAACGTTACAGTATTTCAGAACATATTATTTTCCAAAGAAAATGCGACAGAGATTTTGTTTGTAAAATCAAGTAATAGGGAACATCTTTGAAACAATATTTTGATTTTTAAAATGCGTCAAAAGTACTTCGTTAATTACTTGAATTGTAATTTTCTTTACTTGGAAATTATAAAATAAATTATATATATATATGTAAATTAGTTTTGGTTCACCAGGAAAAGCTTTTTGTAATTAAACGTTATATTAAGTTTAGTTGCGTGCTTACTAATCTTGAAGTTGCGAGATAGAACTATACATTTAGCTTATCTTCGGTTATAAATACTAGAGTAAGTGGCCTGGTAGATCACGGAATTGAAACTCATCCCGAGCATGCTCACCATTTCAGCTGTGGGGGCGTTATAAAGTGACAGTCAATTTTACTATTCGTTGGAGTTGGATAGTGTTGACTAGCTGCCTTTCTAGTCTGTCACTTCAAAATTAGGGATTGCTAAAGCAAGTAATCCTCACAGAGCTTTGTGCGAAATTCAACAAACAGACAAATAAAACTACCAGAGTTCGCACTAAGACTTAATATTTAGCAAAAACGCCTCGCGCCACTGCCATTTCTGAATTTATTTCGTATATATATTTGTTTAAAATGTATATGTTTTGCTTTTGGTCTGTTATTTGCTTTGTTGTTTTTGTTTTCTTCTTACAGAGGGTTGTAAACAATATTTAGTAATAACTTACATATCTAGTCACCTTACCCCTGACTATACAGGGTAAAGAAGCGGTCTTCTTATTGCATTCCAGTTGATGCTTAGTAATTTTCAAATGTATACTACACTTAAAGCTGGCCCCTTCTAAAAATATTACAATATAAGACTTTCCAGTGCAAATTTCTGTTATTCAGTGATAACAAAAGCATGCATGTATTGTTCAACCGTATGAGTAAAGGGAAAGTGTGATGTGATATCTGTAGAGAAAAACAAAAAAGATACCAGATTACTTCGCGTCCACCTATCAATTGCATACCTGAGGAAGGAAAATGATAAACAGCTTGTTACCGGAAGTAACCCAAAAACACAGCGTCTGATTGCAGCTAAAGTAAGAACTTTTGGAACTCTAAGCCAATATAGTTCATACAGATTTAGGTAGGCAAAAGCGTACAAGACGTTCTCAAAGAACATAAGTGAAGGAAAACCAACTCTCGAAACTGTATGAGTTATACATGACGTGTGACAAATAAAAGTAAGTCATCACAGTGGGCAAAGCATGGGTGTAAAAATAAATAAGAAGCCCAATCTGTCATTCGATTTACCACATTTGAGGGTCAGAAACAAATTCTGGGTGTTTTATTAACGTCCTAAGTAGTTAGGGCTGCACTTCACCTCCCAAAGGATGCTGCCTCACGCTGATTGGCTACCTCAGGGAGTAAGGGAAGGAGGAAACCGTCAAAGATGAAGACGTCATAATTCCAAAAGTTGCCACCAGATAACGTGTCTTTAGGGACGTGTTGCTAAGCCGCCATGATAGGCGGCCATAATGGATAGTTACGTAATAGTATCACAAACTAAAGAATGCGTTTCTAGGCAGCCATGACTCATACAATACCTGTCTCAATATGAATATGATTAATCATTAATTCGATAATTAATTAAATAATTTATAATTAAGTTGTCATAAAAGAAGTATGCTTAAGATGAATTCATTAGTTAATTAATTCATCCTAAATAGTACAATACATTTTGTTATAATTTAATTAGTCCTACAATGACAATACAATAATTAAAACTTACTCAGTCAAGTGATTAAAAATGTTCAGGACTAATTTATCAGTTAATTATATTTCTTGTCCTAAAAGGACTATATCTTAGTCAATCTGATGCATACAATACATGACTGTAGGTTTAGATCGACCTAAAAAGGGAAATATCATACAATAATTAAAACTTATACTTTAACTAATTTGACTTTATACAGCATTTTACATCATAAGTAAACCATTTATTATACAATAACACATTTACTAATTTGACTTTATATGACATTTTACATCGTCAATAAAACGTTTATTATGCAATAACACTTTTACGAATTTGACTTTATACAGCAAAATAATTTACTTTATTTTATAAGAGTTTTTACAAAGGCAGAATTTCACATATATATCTACTTAATAACCATTATTTCAATGGCTGTCTGTAGGCAGTACATTTTTCTCTGACTTTTACAGGTATCTGCTAAACATCCTCACATGGAAGATGGAGATTTTTTTAGTTAGAGAGACTGCGAGAAAGAGGGTTAAAAAGTATAACACAGCATCTACTACATACAGTATATCTTTTAATCCTAAAACACATTGACTCACAAATATTATGGACACACTTAATAAGAACATTTAAAACATACTGGATGATACCACCAATCATTTAGACAGTAGAGGTAAAGTAAGAGTATATGTTTATTCAAACCGTATGGATAAATCGATAAGCACATGCCTACAAAATTAGGATCTTTTCACACATGAAATGATTTTAACCACCATAGATATAGTAAATCAGAGTAAAAAAGATATACCACTATATGACTCATTCAGAATTGAAGTTACTCCGTTAGAATTACCAGTAGGCAGTGCCATATATACATTATCAAATATTAGTCTTGATCGATTTAAGAAATAATCAGTTATTGCTATAAATAATAACGGTGAATATTGTTGTGCAAAGCTATAGTAATAGTCTTAACATCACTCATAAAAGATCCAAACTATAATTATATTAGTGATTAACGTAAACCACTACTGACGTAAGCCACTACGCAGGAAGGAACAAGGGACTCACTTGACTCCCTCCCCCAATTTTCAAAAAGAAAAAATTACTGTATACGTAAAATTCTTCTTCTATGTTATTGGAAAATCATAAGGTATTTGTAATTACAGAGGTATTAACAATAATATGATTAGCATCTAAATTATTTTTATTTCTCCTTGTTACAGTAATTTAGAAGATATTCTAATCAAATCATAGTTTTATATTTATTCAGCCCATGCCAAAAAAATAGCGACTTCTAGTCTTCCATAGAAGAAAACTATTTCGATTTCATAATTTTTTCAAACTTGGTTTTTATAGTAGACTTTGAGTTGT